GAAGTATTGTTATTGTAAAGATGATGTTATTGTTTATATCTACTATATTACAGTATGCTCCAATAGAACATGTGGTGAAGAGTGTGAGGAGTTTTGTTATTGTAAAGATGATGTTATTGTTTATATCTACTATATTACAGTATGCTCCAATAGAACATATGGTGAAGAGTGTAAAAAGTTTTGTTATTGTAAAGATGATGTATCATGTGATGCTGTAACAGGAGAATGTTCAACTGAGGGATGTTTACCAGGGTATACTGGATCGAGCTGTAATCAGAGTATGTTTTGTAAAATGATCAACAATCTACTCTGACTTTACATGGGTACATTTACTAAATTGATGTCTTTATAAATCTGAAATGCTGGCAACGCATTACATTGCGATTCCAATGATGCAGAGTAGCTCACTAAATACTCTACGTAACGAATAATTTTGCTATCCAACATTCTAAATTAAATTGGTTTATTTCTAATTCTATTGTAGCTTGTATAGAAGGAAGGTATGGTTTGAATTGTAGTCAAAATTGTGATGAAAGATATTGTTCGGGATCCCAACAGTCTTGTAATTTTGATACTGGAGAGTGTGATAATGGTTGTCTGACAGGATATAATGGTACAGACTGCACACAAGGTAAAATAACGAGGGTCGTGATCTACGCAAGAAATGTGGCAAATATACCAGATATCATAAAGAAAGTCCATTTCATGAGAGAAAACTTCTGAGGATTCTATCTACTTTACGATATCTTCAAACCTTTTAGACATTGTCCGAACTCATATCTGTATTATTTATGTTACGACTTGATTACTTAGAAATGATTTCTTGCTCCCATTGAAGATATATTATAGATTTGTATTCATATTATGACATCTATGTACGAAAGCCGGGTTGGCTTTCGTATCTATACTGTGACTTACGATCTACTATCAGAATGATTATGTCTCTGTATTTACAGCATGTCCGACTGGAACTTATGGTAACAATTGTTTACAAACTTGCCCTTTCAACTGTTTAAATCAAAACTGTAACCATATCAATGGTACATGTATCGGTGGATGTAAACCAGGTTTTAAATTTGAACTTTGTGACCAGGGTAAGTATTGTATCGACAAAAAAAACTCATACATATATTTGACTGCTTAATTATGAATTAAAAATCATAGCAAGTTTCCTATTGGTATGACACGTTTAGCTTTACTTAACTCAGGGCCATTGCTCTAAGCTTTGTGAATATTAGTTTAGAAATTCACAATTTGTGTCGTTTCGTTTCATTCAATAAGTAAATGTATATCTTATAGAATGTGATACGACTATGTATGGTATAAACTGTAAGAGACTCTGTGATGATAGAAATTGTTATGGTTCCACTGAATGTAATCATATCACAGGGAATTGTACAGAAGGTTGTAAACCTGGTTTTAGTGGTGTTGATTGCTCAGAACGTAAGTACTGTATCTTTTTATTATAAAGAGCCAGTAAATAAACAATACAATACTTGTAAGATAACATAAAGGATAATCAAGATATAATTTCTTGTATGCACTTCTTCATCGATATTCAAAATGTGTTATGGAGAGTTTTCGGAAAGTGAACATATGCCAGTAGCGTGGCTATTTGAAATAATATTAGTGTCCATTGGGAGACACGACATAATCATAGTTCCTGTTCTTAAGACTCTGACACAAATAAATAAATCTCGTATCAATAACTTGCTGAAAAATCATTTGAGCATGTGAATAATTTTTCAGAATGTCCCGAGGGCACTTACGGCGAAAACTGTTCGAAAATCTGTTCAAATAGAAATTGTTTACAGAATCAAAATTGTGATAGTGTGAATGGTACTTGTGCTGATGGTTGTAAATCAGGTTTTATATCAATTGACTGTACACAAGGTAATGGAATGTAGTAATGTATGATTAAATGCAGTCAATGTAATACCATTATCATTGTCTATATGTGAAAGTCATATTTTCACTAACCACACTACCCAATAAACTATAATGTTTCATGATATTTTCACTAACCACACTAACCAAAAACTAAAATATTTCATGATTTCATCACTAAACAAAAACTAAAATGTTTCATGATATTTTCACTAACCACATTAACTAAAACCTAAAATATTTCATGATTTTATCACTAAAAAAAACTAAAATGTTTCATATTTTCACTAACCACATTAACTAAAACCTAAAATATTTCATGATTTTATCACTAACCAAAAACTAAAATGTTTCATGATATTTTCACTAACCACATTAACCAAAAACTAAAACATTTCATGATTTTTACACTAACAACACTATATAAAATATATTATTTCTAGAATGTGATGATGGTTTCTATGGTGAAAACTGTAAAAGAATATGCTCAGAGAGAAATTGTATAAATAACAGTACAGTTTGTAGTAAAGTTGATGGTAGCTGTAACGGTGAATGTGTTGATGGTTATAGTAATGTAGACTGTAGCCGAATGTCTACTCCTCAAAAAGGTCAAGGTTCGAAATCGTACGATTGCATATTTGAAGAGAATTTGGAACACTATCTACTTCAAGAATATATATATCTTAGTTCATTACTTTTTTTTTGAAAGATATATATTTTTTACCAATCGTACCTTCGTCTCAGAAACGGGAATTTTTTGCTAAGCCAATCATTGATAGTGTTCACAACAAACCGAATAAAGATTAAAAAAAACGTCGAAATTTGAGCCCTTAAATCCATGTGTGTCCAGAGTTATCCGCGTTTGAAAGTTAAAAAGACGAGTCGCCATTTCTTGAGACACATAGATTTAGAAATTCCTAGTTTGAGACATATAATTATGCGATTTCCGTACATTTCTAGTACTTCTGAAGACTATTTACATATATTCAAAACTTAAATCACCCCGCCCCCACAAATTGCGCAACAATCCTTTTAAGTTACTTGAACAATGATACGTATAGATGGATAGATGGCTCAATATATATTTCGTTTAATCGCATATTTATTAGGAACCAAAATATTTCTCATTTAAGAAGAGGGAATTATTATCACAATATAATCGTAATGATAATCACCTATAAAAACACGAAATTAGGACCGAAACATAGTATATTATGTGTTTATTTTACATCCATGATTATAGTTATTTCAAAAAGACCTTACTTGATAAAAACCATTTTCTTTATTTCTAGAGCAAATTATACTAATTGCATCTACTGTTTCTGGCTGTGTCCTTGCTATAATTATAACTATTATAATACTTGTTGTTATTTGGTAAGTTGCTTATATTTAATTTTCTCGTTTAACAAGGTTAGATACCTTACACATGCCTGTTTCTTTTGAAACTACAGACATCAAGATCATGAATGTTGACTTGCTTGCAAGAGCTTAGTACAATCGTCAAGATAGCAACTCAAAACAAATACTTGATCAGCATTTTTTTACGTGTCAAATTCTATACACTTTCAAAATATGAGGAATTCGTGTAAATTTGAATAAAAATTATGTAATATATTTGATCAAAAGAAATGTGCAATTTTTGGGAAATATCGCCAATATCTAGTAAAACGAACCCAATATGCAAAATTTGCTTTTTGGCAAATAGATTAAAAATAGTTAATTAGGACTGCGTTGGAAAGTAACAAGTTTTTTGTTTTCCAGGCGAAGACATGTTCCAAAGAAAACCAAGATACCAAAGGCTAACAATAACAAACAAGGTGTTTATGAAAACGTGGATGATTTTCAAAAGCGAGATTCGGTCAATGTAACAGTAGTAAAACAAGCTGAAAATCTAAAACAAGGTACATGTAGTTATATCAAGCCAAATTACATTACCAAAACCCAATGTCAGATTTGCAAGATAAATATTTGTTATTACAGCTATCTATACCTAGGATAAGAGAAGAGGAATTGTCTAGTGCCTCTGGCAATTGCAAAAAAAAAACATTTTCTCATGAACATGCTCTTACTTCCACAAACCCTGAGCTTTGATCTCTTGATTTTTAATAGGTTTAACTTTATTGACTATTATTATGCATATGTATTATTATGATTATTTTTATTATTATTCTCAGCCCTCTAAAATGTTTTGTTTCTACTGTGATTATAGTGAACGAAACACCGGTCGAGAAAGCAGCGGTCCAGAATGCAGCTCCAGCACCAAACGTACAAAATGGCTCTATCCACTCTGCTGATGAAGAAGCATCTACTGAAGAGCCACATACGATAGCAAACCACCCAAACCAAGCACCAAACTTAGTGAAAGCAATAATTCCTAATTCAGAAGCTCGTTCACCTTCAAAACCTGCACATCGCCCATCTCCGAAACCTTTATCAGATTCAACTGTGTCTCTCGTACCAACAAAACCAGGCATCAAACCAAAACCTTTGAAGTACACACCAAGTGATAATGAAGAACAAAACACGTCTTCTCAAGATGATAATTACTACAGTAACGAAGATGATTATTATAATTTACCATCTCAAACTAAATTTACTATACATGAACTTGAAAACTTTATATCTGAGGCTAAGTCACAGAATGGTTTCAAAGGATTATTTGCTGTGAGTAATTCATTGCATTGACTTGAGTGAAATAAACAATTTCGGCCATCGTTTAAAAACAATAATCCATGAGCAACAGCACCCTATTCAAAAAGGTTTTTAATAACGCAATAACCTAACAATTAACAAATGCTATTAACGAAAGTGGCCTTCGACAAACATATCTAAATTTGTTTTCAGAAACTACCTACAGAACTGACATTCCCCTTTACAGCTTCTCAGCTTGAACCAAATAAGATAAAAAATAGATTTAATGGTTACTACCCATGTAAGTTGACAGACATAATCAAAATTTCATAAATAAATCCTATACTCCAAAACAACGGTCCATTTCTTTCCTGCACTGTCGAACGTATTGAACCGTTTTTGATCAAATATGACTCGTACATAATATTAACAAATATATTTCAATATTTGATACTTCCAGATACGATTTTTTCAGACTAGACTATTTATTTGTGCTTCCAGATGACCACTCAAGAGTTGTTTTGGAAAATACCCCTGACAAACCACATTTAGATTATATAAATGCCAACTTTTTAGACGTAAGTTTAAATATGATTACTGCATACTAAAAACGTCACTGTGAATCTGTTCAAATCGCTCAGTTCGCCAGCTACATCAGGCCGGTTGCTACAGGGGAAAAATAGATTTCCCCAACTTAAAAATTCTGACGGCCGACCAATTCTATTACTGCAGCTGCATCTCTATTAACCATTGTCCCTGTGGATATATTACTTGCCCCTCCGAACAATCAAGTCGAGCTACGAGCCTGCCTTTCATGTTTTGTTAAATGTATCCATTGACGTTGACATTGGCAAAATCGACATTGGGTTATTGATACTCCCTGTCGAATTATATTACTGTTGCCTCTTATACTTCGTTTAACTTATGCATATCTAGTTCCCTTTAAGTTCGAATGCATGATGTTTATATTGTGTTAATGTTAAATTTACCAATAATGATTTTAGGGTTATGGTCATAATCGGAAATACATAGCTTCACAAGGTAAGCACAAGTTCCCAAACATTTCTTTTAATTTTCACATCTCAAAACTAAAATATATACTAATTCGAGCAAGAAACACCATACGCCACGTTTCAGATAGCTAGATGTATAGTATATCCACTTGGTAAACATGAAGTATTGTTCATGAACATATTTCTAACTGAAATTCTTCTCATATCCATTACGTTCGTTGATTTAACCAACATGCTGAAATTCGTGGACTCTATTTGTGAACTTGCTTGTCCAGTGCCTCGTCTACTTTTACCGACATATTTTTATCATGTTAGTTGATATCTTTATATTTTTACCTACTACCAAGGTCCCACGACACATATGATAAATGATTTTGTTAGAATGATTATGGAGAAGAAATGTGATAAAGTTGTTATGGTCACTAAAGATTATGAAATGGGAAAGGTTTGTTTCTTTTCGGATATTTTAACAATAGCTATTCTTGCTCCTCAGAACGCTATTCCTATGCCATTCTTCGACTGGGTATCTCAGAGTGCCTTTAGAAGAGGCCATAATGCTACATCGGGTCATCAAACGCGAATAACTGAGAAAATAGAGAAATTAACTTTCATCCGTTTTACAAAGATTGAACTCCGTCTTGTGTGTCAAAACTTGAAATGATGAATATTGAAGATATTGTGTTTCTGTTTTAGATTAAATGTTTAATATACTGGCCTGATGAAAAGCCTATAACTAAAGGTGATATCACATTGACACTGAAGAAACAAAAGATAAGAGCTAACTATACTATAAGAACCATTCTAATGACAGAGGTAGGGTATGACTCAAAAATGGATCGGGTTCAGCTTCCAAAAAGTGACATAAGATTTAGATGTCTGGCCCTACCTGTGAGAAACGATTGAGAAACTGGATATGGCCAGATTTGATCGGCTACCAACATTTAACATTGGTGAATATTAGCGGTAACAGCTAGATTGCGAAAGTCATTGGCAGTCTCCTGAAAAGTTTTAGAAGAAATTATACCTGAAACCCTTACCTTGAAACACGTTTCTCTTAATCGTACATAAAACTCAAAAGACATCTTATTGAATATCGTAACATGATATCCCTTTGGAGTTGCAGTATAGCATAATCCTGAGATTCTGCCATCCAATGTTACAGATGACAGTACAGACATCTTCATTTCTAAAAGTAATATTTTGCAGGGAGATTCAAGTCATACATTTACTCAGTTCCATTATGAGACTTGGCCAGATCATGATGTTCCTGATGTCGACGACATGTTGGATTTTTTATATGAAGTTAACAAACATCAACCACAATCAACTGCTCCCCAAGTAGTACACTGCAGGTAGTTTACCTTATATTCAGATTTGAAGGGTTGATACAAAGGGACAATTGTATTTCGGAACAATATCCTATTTCAATCTACAGATTTGATTTGAAAGAAATATTGAAACTATTCAAATTATAATTTTTTGGTATGGGCAAGGATGATTATACCTTACAGGTCACCATGAAAATTTCGCGTTATGATGCAGCTTTACGTAAGCCTGTGAAAATAAGTTCTCAACTGTCGTACTTAAATGTACATGTACGTTCTATAGAATTTTCCTGGTACTCTCCAAATTGTACCCGTTTGAATTCCTGATGAAGGTTTCATTGAAAGATATGGTGTTTACCTCGGCTGAGAATATTATTATGTTTTCTTGTAGTGCTGGTGTAGGTAGGACAGGTACCTATATAGCTGTAGATTATTGTTTAGAACAATATAAAGACACTGGCTCTGTAGATATCATGGCATGCATCAAGAAGCTGCGGAACCAAAGAAGAGGAATGGTTCAAACATTCGTAAGATCATTGTTTTGATCCCTGAAAATGTACTGAAGTAAACGATTACCACAAATTTTACAGAAGAGTAAACATATTTCCAAGCATAGGCAAAATGAAAACAATTGTGTTCAGATATGATAACGGCTTTTCTTAAATACCTAGTATCATTTATTTCTATCGCTTCTCTTACTTACTTCATTACAAATATCAAATATATCAATTATCAATCTATAACTTTCAAAATGCGATTATGGAACTGGAGATTCATTCCCATTGATTCTTTTCTCGTCATATTTATATCAATTTATCTATCCAGGCACAACTTCAGTTTATCTTTGAAGCTTTACTGGAGGGATTGAAGAAAGGTGATACCTGTATGTATTCAGATATGTTTCTCAGTGAATATGAGTCCAAGATGAAAGTTAATTCTACAGCACTATCTACACAATTTGAACATCTGAAGAGCATTGAAGTAGAACCAGGTGAATTTCGTAAAGTTATGCATGTACAAACTTAAGCTGGGAGGCAACGTTCCTGAAGCGATCGCAGTCACCTTCTTATTAAAAAGGATTGCAGGTTGTTATTATATATAAGTTCAGTATAGCAAGTTGCTATTATATATAAGTTCAGTATGGCAGGTTGCTATTATATATAAGTTCAGTATAGCAAGTTTCTATTATATATAGTTTAGTATAGCAAGTTTCTATTATATATAAGTTCAGTATAGCAAGTTGCTATTATATATAAGTTCAGTATGGCAGGTTGCTATTATATATAAGTTCAGTATAGCAAGTTGCTATTATATATAAGTTCAGTATGGCAAGTTGCTATTATATATAAGTTCAGTATAGCAAGTTTCTATTATATATAAGTTCAGTATAGCAAGTTGCTATTATATATAGTTCAGTATAGCAAGTTGCTATTATATATAAGTTCAGTATAGCAGGTAGCTATTATATATAAGTTCAGTATAGCAGGTAGCTATTATATATAAGTTCAGTATGGCAGGTTGCTATTATATATAAGTTCAGTATAGCAAGTTTCTATTATATAAGGTTCAGTGAAGCAAAATGATAAATAAAGCACCTGTACCTACATATAGGTATACGATATTAATTCTTTTTTTCTTCATTTTCAGAAGAAATTAACCAACTTTATGTAACAGATGTAATATCATTGCTTAGATTCCCAGTAAGTTCTTGCAGTTTTCTTGCAACATTAGCATTAGTGTTTACTTAAGCAAGTCCTCCATTTTTCTTTCATCAGCAAATGAAGTACTTTATATATTGTAATCAGCAAATTTTCAGCTAAAGAATGTGCAGACCTATAATTACTATACCATTATATTTTTAATTTTCATATTCTATATTAACAGAGCCATACACAAGTAGATGGTTATTACTTTCAAGAATTAGGTATGAAATCAGCGGATATATGGCAGCTTATTTATGACAGACAGATACCTTCAGCAGTCTTCATTATTGATAATACGGTAGAGTAAATTTTAGATATATATATCAGTTTGCCACAAGAATAGGTGATAACAGTACTAATATTTTCAATTTGTTGTTTTTGATAATACAATAACAATATTTTTGATTTGCTGTTTTTGATTATACGATAACAATATTTTTAATTTGTCAGTTATGATAATCCGATAACAATATTCTCAATTTGTTACTTTTACGCTTACAATAATTCAATATGTTATTTTGGATATTACGCTAACAATATTTCAATATGTTATTTTGGATATTACGCTAACAATATTTCAATATGTTATTTTGGATATTACGCTAACAATATTTCAATATGTTATTTTGGATATTACGCTAACAATATTTCAATATGTTATTTTGGATATTACGCTAACAATATTTCAATATGTTATTTTGGATATTACGCTAACAATATTTCAATATGTTATTTTGGATATTACGCTCACAATATTTCAATATGTTGTTTTAGATATTACTCTGACAATAATATCTCAATGTTATTTTATGTAACACAATATTTTATTCCCATAAAAATTTCAAATTTTCAAATTTTGAAAGTATGTAAACCATAATTTTTCTAGAAAGAAACATCATTGTGTCCCGAGAACGGTACAGAGGAGGTTTATGGTGAAATTGTTGTTGAAAATCAGTCAGAAATTGACAGTAAAGAAATAAGTACCATTAACGTAATGGTTAAATCGGTGAGTCGGAGAAAAATCCACAAAAAGTGCTTTTTGCAGATCGCCCTCATATGCAAAGTTCATTAAACTCAGTGAAATTGCTTTATAAGAAAATACTGGAAAATCATAAAATTATTTAAGGTCATATATTAGATCTTCAAACTTTAAACACATTCAAGAAGACAAATAGCTTCACAAGAACTGGTGAAACTGTTTCCTTTTTTCCTAGTTATTGGGCAGTTCAACTCAACTTTCGAATACTAACTACCAAATATCAAAATCAATATAGTCTATTGGCGAACAGTGAAGTAACAAATGAATATTTTAAAATATCAGTGGATACAATAAGAAGTCATTTGATGTGAGATGGATATGCAAATATGTCAATTTTCTCATCAATATTGCCAATAGTTTTGACAAATACCACGAAGTCCACATTTGCACAATGGTCAAGTTATTCGTCTTACCCCTTGACTACAATAGCCTCCTTTCTTGTTTCACGGAGATTTACAAATGCAGTGATTCGATTGTATTTTAGTTAATACAGGCAACCTAGTCTTCGGCAGAATGCTTGTAAATAATATGCCATAATCTGTGCAGTCTTTCTGTCGAGGTCTCTGATTAGCCGTATGCGTTGGCGTACAATGTAATCAAATCGCTGTATTCGGTGATAAAAAAAAATATTGTAGTTAAAATATAAGAACAAATTTGTAATACCTTGTCCATTATTAAGATGTCAAGTCCCCTGTAATGCGTTTATGATATTTTCAGAATGAGACAAGTGTACCAGTAACGGTTTATATGTTAGATGTTACTAATATGAATAATTTTAACAAGTTAATACAGATGTTATTGGAGCTAATAGTTGAGGTTGATATTCATCATAATGACTATAAACCAATGGCACTATTCACAAGGTAAAAAGCCCCATTTCTTTTGTGGGCTTTTTTGTGTGTTTTTCTATATCTGTCATTCCTCAATTGCAGTCCATTTTTCTTCGTAGTTCCGCATCTGTAACCTTGTATCCTTCTTCTGTAGTTCTTACTTCTTACGTTAGCCTATCTTGTTCTTCAACATTTTTAAACTCTTACCATACCTGTTCTTCTGTGATTCTTCACATCTAAAAGTTTTTTTTGAATAATTAGTCATCTGGGGCAAATCAAGAAATACCTGAGAGGTATGCCAAAAATGATAGGTGTGTCTTGAAGGGGAGGCTCGAAAGTGAAAAGCCCCCAGAAGATTTCAGATAATCTGAGAGGAGTTTTCATTTATGTATTCTTTTTTTCTTCATTAATTAAAATAGATTTTCATTAATTATTTATCTATAACACGCATAAATATTTCGTCAGTAATTCTTCAACTGTAATCTCAGATATTTCGTTTGGAGTTATACATTTCTACTATGAAACTATATATATGAAATGGTATGTTTTTTACAACTTTTGTTTTAGTGATGCTCATTATGGCCGAACATTCTGCTTACTACGCAACATTCAACAAAGAATACGATTGGATAGCGAGGTTGAGATATTTAGAGCCGTAAAGAGTGTACATCAAAAACTTGGAAATACTGTCAGATCTCTGGTAAGAATAGTCTGATTTCTTTCGGATGCCTATTTACTGAATAATCTTTCTGTAAATGAACTGATGCAATTTATCATAAAATCATCAGGACAAAATTTTCGGCACTGGGGTTTTTCATTCAACGAACTCTAATAAGACCTCTTTGCAGCATCAATATTAAAGTTATATGGAGCAGTTTTTCAAGATTAATACAAACACGATCTAAGGGTGTGATGAGGGAAGATTGTTCTAGCAAATGAAATAGATTCCATTGGTAATTTCATCTATCATTTATATTTCTTTTTCAGAATGGTTACACAATGTTGCATAAACTGGTTTATGATTATGTAAAATCTACAGAAACTTATGCTAATTTGTAAATTGTTTTTCATATATGCTCATAAGAATTTTATTGCTTAAGAGTTGTATAGTTCCTATGCCAAAATACTATTATTATACTAGTCTGCATGGAAAAAATAATGTATATTAAATTCTTTATTTTATAGCGATATTAAATTAAATTATTAAAGACGTATTTGGTGCAGGAAAGTAAGACCCCATTCATTATTATCAGTGGACAATCATAACGGTTGTAGACAATTACTGTTTCTAATATATATTAGTACAGTAATCTCCTTATACAGCAACAATATTTGTTTTAATTATTATACTAGTCTGTGTGGAAAAAATAATATATATTTAATTCTTCATATTATAGCGATATTAAAAATAATGACTATCCAAATGATCGAGAGCAAAGTCATTCCTTCACAAAAACCAATTAATTTGGGTCGAAAATTATTTGGATAAAAACATATGTGATATGCACCATTCCCATTTTGACTCAGACGTCTTGTTCATGCAAGTTTTGTGAAGTCACAATCGCAAAAGGTGTAAATAATATTTAAGGACTTTGTCAAAAACGATAAGATTTATGGAATTGTAAGAATTGCAAATCGATGCCTCCAGTATCTCCAATTGTAAAAAAAAATTCACACCTTTCACATACATTTCTTGCCATTAGGCTAACGCAATAAACCTATTAAATCTGTATATATTCATGGTCTGACAGCAAGTAGCTTTTTTGACATCTAGAATTACGCTTTGTTGATATTGTTTCAGTTCATTTGTACATGTATTTGTGCTGTGTTCCCTATATATATATATATTATTTTTGAAATGAAGTTTTTATGTAGCCTAATGTCTCATACCACGTTGAAAGTACCAGTTCTCGTCCGATCACTGAAGAAAAGCAACGTCGGGCTTGGTTAGTAACCTGTATTTGGATGGGTGACCGCCAGGGCACTCTGAGTGCTGTACGGGATACAATGTACTGAATAACATTCAGTCTATGGGAATCTACCAGTGGCATTTCTACGGGCCCACCCCACCCCCCTTTTCCCATTTTTTACATAGTGAAAAAATTGACTTTGGACCCCTTGGAAAATTTTGTAGCCCCATCTTGGCCCCCTCTCCCAATGTTCCTTAATATGTAAACGCCATTGAAATACCCATTCTTCTACTTTTCGAATGAGCCACATAGATATGTCCATGCAATCAATAATTCATATGTCAAAAAATAATATGAACCTTTACCAGAGAGATCAGATAACCATGAATCTTTACAGTCCGAAGTTTGTTAAAATGACACGTAGATCAAATCGATTCAAGTTCAAGGTGTATGAACTTTTCCATGTAGATCGATGGGCGGAGTATATCGGACTAAGGATAAGATAACTCCGGCCAGAAAACAAAATGTCGAATTCTACATTAATTCCAGCCTTTTTGGTGCCATTGCTTCAAATTATAGCTCCTCAGCCATGCTTTAACACTCTGTTTATAAGTTTAGACCTATTGCACGGTTAGTAAATTATTTGTATTTGTTCTAGTGTATATAACAGCTAAGTTGTGGGCCACTATTTAATTTGGTGTCTGTAATTTGCAAATCATCGACTAAGTAGTCATGATGTAATACTGTAGCAGAAATATACCATTGGTAAATTTGTTTTATGTTTTTCACAAGTTGACAGAGAAATTAATTCCCTGAGCATATAGCCTGACTGGATGGCATTGTAATTATACCTTATATTGTAAACTAAAGCACAAACTTTACACATGACTCTCATGTCTTAAAATCCAAAATCCCTTGCATTTAATTCGTGAAATCATTTAAATCAAGCAGAAAATCTAGGAATATATGATTATTTTCAAAAGAAATGATTAGATTCTCAATAAATCATTGGAAGAATTATATAGGCCTACTGGCAGATGGTTCAGTGTCTGAGTTAGTCAAAGGTTCAATCGCACATAGGTCAAGATGATACCTTCAGATTTTTCAGTGATGCAGGTCTGAGGGGCTGACATGGAAATAGCGCCGAAAGGGACAATAAACCAAAGCCCCAAGTGCTAGAGACTGTGCACATAAGAGTTCCCTTGACAGTTGGAAATCGAAAAACAGTAGGCCTAGGCTAATGCCGCTCAAAATTTTATGTCATTTTAGTGAACAATCATAACGGTACTAGTCAATTACTTCTAGTAGATTAGTACAGTAATCTTTTTTGTCTCTTTACAGTTGCTTGTCTTAAAGTTGTCATAAGTAAATGTTTAGGATTTGCTATAATAGCTGGATCATGTATTGGTAAGTTTTAATTTGTTTATCTTCCAAATCAAACATTTGAAATTGTAAGAGATTGTTCTTTGAAGAAATTTTGGACAGTGAATTCAGGAAAAGATTTCATAGATCTACAATCATTGTGAGCCCAGAATCTCCAGAAAAATAAATATGTGACCTTAGCCAAATCTTAAAAAACTTTTTGCCCTTATACCTGTAATACTAACCATGTTAAGTTTTAAGAAGATGCTATGCAAATTTTTCATTTAGTGAAACTACCTCAAGTTATCAAGATTTTAAGAGCTAAAAGTGGAGAGGGTATTAGTTTGCCGGCTGTTACATTAGAATTAATTGCTATAACTGCTAGTTTATCATATGGTTTTGCTCATGGATTTCCATTCAGGTGAGCATTATTACTCATTTAATAAAAATTATGATTTCAGATCAAAATTAGGCTACTGATCACTTTTTGAGTAGCCGATTTGATAACTGAAATCTCACTCCCATGAACATGCCAGTAAATAATTTGGTACACTTTGAGGGGAATTGTAGGCATGACAGTATATAATAGAAGAGTCAGCCCACACAATAGAAAAACTTTTAATCAGACAGCACTCTTTGCTTGAATCTGCAACAGCTTATTTATTAATCTGATTCATTCATGTCTACTTGTTAATTTCAGTTCCTATGGTGAAGCTGGTTTTTTAGTATTTCAGACAGCAATAATAGCATTCTTGGTGTTATTATTTAGTGGTAAAACTGTTAGTGGTTTAGGTTATATAGCAGTATATGTTGGTATATTGGCTTATCTATTGTCTCCTTCTGTGAATATGTCATTATTAGCTGGTTTACAAGCTAGTGGTGCTGGAATTGTAGCTATTAGTAAGGTATGTTATTTCAGTGTTACTTTTGTATTCTATGCATTTCTAACGGTGGCCTCGGGTTGACTGGTGATTTAAAGTAACTCATCAGATCAATTGCAGTCAACATTGAAGGAAGCACTTATATCTGAAAATTCACTAACCTGCAGCGCCTGCAATCAACAGGATTGTCACAGATTCTGAAAATTCAGGTGAACTAAAAGATTTGATATTTAAAGTAAAGTATAACAATTGAATAGTCAAACTTGCTCAGAGGCCAGTAATCGCCAGGTTGACCTATGCCCCCTTTAAAATGCAGAAACACAAATACATGTACTTCAGAAAATGCTTTACTGCCTTTTCCTTGCTATCTATTAAAAAAAAATTCAAAAAAAAGTTTTCACAAATAATTCATGAATTTCCCAGATTTTATTAGATAGTTGATCTTAAATACAATATTTTATATTTTACAGATGATCCAAGCACATGCTAATTTTAAAAATGGTAGTACTGGTCAACTATCAGCAGTAACAGTATTCCTTTTATTCTTTGGTTCAGTAGCAAGAATTTTTACCTCCATTCAGGAAACTGGTGATAAATTAGTCATCTTTCAATATGTTGTTTCTACAGCTTTTAATGGTTTAATTGTAGCTCAAATGATTTACTATTGGAACAGCTCTAGCTCGAAATCCAAAAAGACCAAATCCAGGAAAGCACAATAATAAGTGTTCTCTCATTTTAGACCAAATTATTATATTTATCATGAAAGGGCATGCTAAACCTCGCTCTTAGATTATACCCGTGACCCAAACAACTGGTTTGCTTCTGGATGACACAAGATACAGTTGGTAAATTATGTTCATTATGACCTATGTTAGAAATGCATTGTTGAAAATTTGGTTTAGCATTCCCTTTCATGTATTAAATTTTTTTTTTTTTTTTATTTTATAAAAACTTTGAGAATTTTTTCATTTAAGCAAGTGTTCAGTACCATTTAAAATAAATTGATTTTATGTCTATTATGAAAAAAAAGAAAATAAATTAGAATCATTTTCATCATGTTTTTTGCATTGTACAAAATTAATAATATATTTAAGAACAACATTTAAAGGACTGTTGAGATTATACAAATTTTAAACGATTTTGATACTTTGTTGCCCTTGTTTTAAAATAAAAAATTTTCTTCAAGTTTTTTTTTTTCAAAGATATTACTATCTTTAGACTTAATGAAATATCTATATTTGACCACTTGATCATTTAGTCCATTTCCAGCTATTGAGCAGCTCTAAATAATGTAACAAGACCTATTTCTCATCTTCTTAAAGATAGTCAAGCAGATTGTTAAGAATGTTACGGACTCAGATGCAACTGAAAGACCACGTTGGTTAACTCCAGTCAATGCGTCATGTAAGTTGTGTTCGAGCAGTGCATTTTGTCTTATCTTACAAATTTTGTTTGAGCCGTACAAAAAGAAGGGGAATGCCCCTATGGAATATCAAATTCAGTTGATTCATGTTGAGTATTGAAGGATATTAAAATACGAAGGACGGTTGATTCACGGCGAGTATTGAAGGATATTAAAATACGAAGGACGGTTGATTCACGGTGAGTATTGAAGGATATTAAAATACCAAGGACAGTTGATTCACTTTGAGTATTGAAGGATATTACATTACCAAGAACAGTTGATTCACGGTGAGTATTGTTGAATATTACATTACCAAGAACAGTTGATTCACGGTGAGTATTGTTGGATATTACATTACCAAGAACAGTTGATTCACGGTGAGTATTGTTGAATATTACATTACCAAGAACAGTTGATTCACGGTGAGTATTGTTGAATATTACATTACCAAGAACAGTTGATTCACGGTGAGTATTGTTGGATATTAAAAAACAAAGTTCAGTTGATTCATGATCAGATATTGAAGGATAATAAAATACGAAGGACAGTTGATTCATGGTGTGTATTGAAGGATATTAAAATACCATTGTCAGTTGATTCATGGTGAGTTGACGAAATTTGACGGATGTTCAAGTCTCCGGACATTAGACCCTACTGTGAAGTGGCTATACTAAGAATACAAAAAACGAAACGAAAGTAGGGTGTAATTTCAATTAGACTTTTTATTCTTGGTAATAATTGTAGGAAATAAAAAACGAAGGACAGATCATTTATGGTGAATATTGTAGATTTTAAAATACCAAGGTCAGTTGATTCACTGTATTTTTTATAAGATTGTTAAGCACATCGAACGAATATTGAAAACGGGGAATATTGAAAGAAAATATTAGCTTCCGCATAATTCAATGACATTTCTAAAGTAACATCGTCTAAGTAGACATTCTGGAATTGATACTTATAAGTTGGTAAAATTGAATTTCTTTCTTCCTGGGAATATACACGATCCGTAAACTCTTACAACAGTGAACTTATTTCTTTCCTTTCACTCAGCAATCCTTTGGATGATAATATTTTACAGTTTTTCATCATAATTTGTTGGAAATAATACAGAATAGATTCCCTCTTCATAATTTTGGAGATTCAGATAGTCGCTTTGTTCTTCTAATAATCTTTCTAAACTGGTACAAATTTGATCAAACGTGGGTCTCTTATCTTTATCTATCTCCCAACATTGCATTATTAAATCTTTGCTGAAAAATTAAACCCAGAGAATTATATTAAATAAACGACCTCATTAGTCTCAATGAAAACTCTGGCCTCATTTTCCTCTTTCTAATGACTAGATAATTGTATTTGTATTAATCAAAAGGTTTCGTAGAATCTGGGTTGAGGTGAGTTAGGGTCAGTTGATTATATTATCATTATATTCCTTTGACAAATCTGCTAGTGTCATGACCATGATTCAAAATAATGTATGATGGTAATTCTAGGGCAGAACACTCATCCACAGTTCCCGATGGAGTCAATATAAAAAGGAAAAAAACCTACATAGTTTGGCTACAGAATTCTGGGCATTCTAGTTTATTACCACCAACAACTGTTGACATAACCTGCCTTGCTGATAATCCTGGATACGGACTAGCTCCTTTGAATAGATAGACATAAATAGGTATAATTAACGTGATAAATGTAAGGTGGAGTTGAAATCAGCGTTAGTCCAGTATGGACAAATAACCTTCAAGTGTGATCGAATCTTCTCGAATAGTCGTACAGAAATATACATAATTCAAAAAAAATAAAACCAGACTTGGACTATCTACAGAGACATTCATGGCTCGTTTTCTGGCTCTCTGTAAATCTGGCAATCCTTCAAGTCCACCCTAAGTGCCCAACCAAGTAAACAAAATCCTAAAAAACAGTTTCGACCCCATTGGATCATAGTCTTGGTAACTAGCTCTTGAAAGACCTCTCTAAAACTTTAAAAGTGACTCTCTGCGAAGGGGTCAAAGGGTAGAAATACCGAGTGTACGAAAGAGTTTAATAGTTTCAGCTGTAAAGTTTAATCTACAATATCTGTAGTAATAGATTCCAGATCAAGCAATGTATCGGTAGCGTCAGGCAAGCTTTGAAAAATTCTTAGTTGATAGAAACTAAGACGTACCTAAAGTTATGATCTCCCATAGTAACACACCATAAGACCAAATATCAGATTGGGTTGTGTATAAACCATCAGTTAATGATTCTGGAGCCATCCATCTTATAGGTAGGCCACCCTACGTTAAAGAAATATTTAATTGTACCCAGAAAAATACTCGATGCAAAAACGATTTGCGTACAGCTAATCGTGCTATCCTTGATAAAGGGATGACCTACCACCAGTCAACAAAATATTTAAACATTGTACATGTAGCTGACAATCGAGACGCTTCAATCAATACAATATATGCATGAAACTGTTATTTGCTAGCTAGAGTTTGTAAATGTAAACAGTTAACTCCATGTTAAAAGTGACTTTCACTCTGCCATTACCTTCGACGCTATCTCGTAGACATCACTTTCATATAAATCTCTAGCAAGTCCTAAATCAGCCACTTTACATATATGACTTTCACTTATTAAAATATTTCTAGCTGCAACATCACGATGTATGATCTGTAATTTAAAGTAAAACCACAATGTTTGGACAATGACTTGCTGATAATACAAATACTTGGATCTCCTCTATCTGTCTAATCACTCTGAAGTTAAATTCTTTTTTTGATTTTATGACAATCCAGTCTTATTTTAAAAATGCGATATCTATTTCATCACATATATAAGATTACTTAAGAAGAGTCCCTTCCTATCAAAAGTAAAATAGTATTGCACTATAATGTAATATTACGAAGATTTTAATAGCCATATCTTCGATGGTAAAGATGTCCGTTTTGAAGTAAAATAAAACAAAGATACCCAAACGAAACCCGAAATCCACAATAATAATTTGGCTAGGCAAACCTCGGATTTGCCATCTTGGAACCATCTAGGTAATCATTCTGCCACAACCTATACCAAATTCCATGGTACAAAATTACCAACCAGTAGTAAAAAAAAATAACTGTTTCAACATACGTTATGGTGACTCAGATGAGCTAATCCTTTGGCTATTTGATGCGCAAACGATGACAGTTCTGATGAATTAATTTCTTGTTCATTGGATTTCGATCCCGATCCTGGACGTCTGTCTCTTAAAAATTGTATTAAATTACCACCAGATATATATTCTAATATGATAAACGTTGGTTGATCTATAGATTGAGAAAAAAATGCTTTATTCAAATATTTTTTTATCATAATAAAACAAAACATCTGATTTGAACATTCAAAACATTAAATTGGCTCAGAGCGTTTTAAGGTTGTTATAAGAGTTGTATAAGCGCGTAATACACGTGCAATTGTCGCCACTATAAGGCGAGCTACGGCGTTAATTTTGGAAAAAAGGTTTGGCGATCTGATACACTGAAAAAAAACGCTGCAAAAACGTTAGAACGCAATATGCACAACTCGCAGTAGGATTTCGACTGTTTTGAATTTTTCTTCACAATTGACCACGACCTAGTACATTTCCAGTCGCCGTAAGATCGCATATGGTCGCAGTCCGGTGTGGCTGAGCTATAAGGTACGGTTACGATTGCGGAATGATTCGCCACCCATATTTTCTTTTGTGTTGATGATATCACACAGCACAGGAAAACGTCCCCCATGGCCTTCATGACAGCCTCCTATCTTACAACCGGTTAACAAGTAGAAACTTTTACAGGAAGTTTACGTATAGATTGAACATTCTGATTCCATAGCAAGCTGCACCCTGAAAAGCCTTCCATCAAGAAATTACAACGATTCACGCAAAATAACTTGTATATTTACCTAAACTTTTACAGTAGCCAAGGTATGAAACTACATTAGGATGTTTTGGAATTCGTTTAACCAATGATAATTCATGGCTAAATTCCTCTTTCTGTAAATCAGTTGCCGCTTCTACAAATAGAACATCGGTAATTTGATCAGTGGCGGAGCCAAAAGCTACCCACTCTGAACACCCCTCCCCCACCCCCTTCGCAGCCCCGAAAGCAACTTCTTCGGACAAAAATCTCATAAATAGGTTAGAAATTCAGGCAATCTCAGGTATTTCGCCCCCTCCCCCATCGGACGTAAACCTGGCCCCGCCACTTGATTTGATGACGAAATGAAATGATCATCTGTTCAATATAGGCTAATGAAAATGAGCGATGTGCACTGATGTGAATTTTGTCAGTACAGGGACATTGGCCTATTTTCTTTTTGAAATAACACGGTCCTTACGTCAATCCTCTTCTCAGTTATCGACAATTTAAATGTGTGAATGTAACAGTTTGATTGTAGGCCTACCCAGAAAATATTATACAATATAGTTTACTAATTAATCCAAGAAGAGTGTTAAGTTGCGAAAGCCAAATTTTGACTTTATGTTCTGCATATTTACAGTACATTCTATCCAATCGATGGTACGATTTTGTTGCTCCTCTTACTAGCCTATGACGAAGTAAAGTTAGAATATGGATATAGGCTTTGCATGATAATTTGGCGAGTCATGGCCACTTTCTATTGGAAGAGAAAAGCAACTTTAAGTCGAAGTGATTGTAAAGAGGTTTTCTATATTATCGGGGACACTGATAGTATCAATATGAAATTTTCAATCAGAAGTCTGTGGTTCCTGCAATTCAACTAAAACTGAGTGTTTGATGACGTCACTAATCGCGAAGGGCATTATATTGTGATGAAACATAGTTTGAGATTAGTGACGTCATCAAACACTTATTACTTGTGTAATTGCAGGAACCACAGACGTCAGAATGAAAATTGAAATGGTGAAAATTAAATCTAGTCCTATCAGTGTCCCCGATATACATCTAAAAATATCGAAAATCAATTTCTTTAACTCGGGTCATATGGCGAAATCCATGCAACACCAATAAAACTTTACTAAAAATCGCAATGTGTAAAAGTTCAAGAAAACTATATGCCTAAATGTGGTAGCATACCTTTACACATTTTCACAGCCACTGTCTCCCACGTACCATTACCACTGATATCTAAAGCCTCTGCTTTTACCACTTTACCAAAATTACCCTCTCCTAAAGTTTCCTGAATGCGTAGTCTTTGACGGGGAAATCCTTCCTGTTGACATGGCATTTTAGAATAGCGATCCTGAAGCATTTAAAATTTGTCTCCGGTTAGAGCGAACAGGGCCTTATTCTCCAAAACTTAACTACTATAAAATCAAGATTTTAAGAAATACAGTAATCTGATTGGAATCTGAAACTGAATTTAAAATCAATTTTAGTGATTGACAAATCAGATGTCTGGAACACTAAAATCATTTTTCAGAAGTTGACACCTTCTCATCCATTTAACATTGTTATGTTGATCAAAACTCCACCGTGTTTAGTTTACCCGATGCAAATTTATAAAACCTTGGTAAATTTTAACAGGTGAACACTTGGGGGAAAATGCACCATTACTGTTATGCTTAAGCGAGAGTTTAGGTCGCCTTGCAATTTAAAGAATCTCGTCGAGCCAGTTGCAATTGACATAAGCCTAGGAATCCCTTCCCACACCATAATACACGAGCCTGAATGATTTCAATAAATACTTACTACAGCTGACATGTTGAAAAATTCTTTTGATACCGTTCTTTTGACTTTTCTATCTTGAAATTTCTAAAAATGAATTTATCGAAGTGTAAAAGGACTTTACGTCAAAAATGTGATATTTCAACAATGGTTCAAATACCATAGGGGCTCCTAAGCAGGTCCCCGCCCGAGAAAAAATAACAAGATAGCTTGCCAAGCAAGGTAATATACGCCCACTGGCAGCTTTGATTTTAAATTAAAATATTTGGTAGTACAGCAACAATTACAAGTATGAAATATTCAACCTTCAGACAAAAGCTTTTTTTTGAGGCGATACTGAATTATACTACCAAGTTTCGTCAAAATCTTTAAAGAATTGGGCCATCCAAGAACAATATTTTTCTGATTCACCATAGAGTTCATCATTGGGTGATAACAAGTTTCGTCGAAATCGGTCAAGATTGTGCCCTGTAGAGTGTTTACGAGCAATAATTGTGGACGGACGGACCGATTGACGGACGGACCGATGGACCGACGGACCGACGGAAATGGTCGATGGCGATATACGCCCCCCCCCCCCCCCCCGTTTCATATAGAAATTAAAAATATATATATAAATGAATGAAATAAAATTAATTATAGACTAAAAATCCTTAAATCTTCCAAGAACTGGCATTAAATGGGCTTATAGAGAGGTCTCAGAATGCAGGAGAGCATTAAAAAAAACTCTCACTGATCTAGTTGAGCCACTGTATTTCAATTGAACCTAGAAAGATTGATTTAACCCTGTGTTAGTGCCAAGATTAGTTGTGAAAAATACATCAGCACATAAAACCGTTTACAGAAAGATAAAATACAGTATTACCTTCTTAATCCACTTGTACTTTCTTATAAAACAAATGAGCATCACAATAAGTATGGCTGATGGCACTAACCATGTTACATAACCAACAGTTACATCTGAAAAGGGGGTAGTATAGGGTCTAGAAAAAATCATCACCGAGGGGTCAATGTCCAAATCATTAACGAGATTTTTTTTAAAGTTTTTAATTGTATTTGGGACACTGATACCATTGGTTTACACCATTCAAATTTTCAATAAGACGTCTAAGATTCCTACAATTCCACTAAAACTCAGCTATTAATGACGTCACTGTCGCAATAGCTTCTAAATCTAAGCGTTTGAATTTAAAGAAATGAAAAACATGTATATTTTAATAGACAGACTAGGGAATTTTTAATTTTTTTATTATTGATGATTGGTAATATTAACAAATTGGTACTCACGATCTTCATTCGTCATGGGCACAACTGAAAACAGCACATCTTCGTAATCATATTTATTGGATACTTTAATCTTATATTGGCCAGAATAAGTTTCTAAATCTTTTCTTGTTAAGTTTGAAATTAGAAACCTAAATGTGTTCTGATCTATTGTTGCCAATTTAGAGGCTGACAGTATATCGTTAATATACATTTTGAAATCTAAGTTAGTCTGTGGTTTAGTGATGGCTCGAAAAGTTATATTTAAATCAGAACCAAGGTAGATAGAAACTTCCTTTTTAGGTTGATCTACTAATCGAATTCTGGCTGCAACAAAATAATTCAAAAAAGTGATATAAAATAGAACTTATTCTCTAATTTCAGTGTCATCTCTGGATTGTGAAATTTGTTATGAAATCATTTATTTTGTTCTAAAGGGTAGTCGGTTCGGCTACAACTGAGCTGAGTGGGTTCTGAAATCTTTCTACAAAAGGACGTTTGATGAAGTTCCTTTTACTAATTTCACCAGATAATCTATTTCTATCCTCGGCTGTTTGAACGCTCATGTAGCAACACTATTGTCATGTATACTGGAATACTGGAATTAGTCCTGTCAAAAAATTTATATTAGTACTTCTACTAGATTAGCTGGCCCGTGGATATTTTTTATTCGTTTATCTTTTTTATTATTATCATTTTTTTAAGCTCTTACATGCTCTCCTGCATTCTGACACCCCTATTTAAGTTATTTAATGCCGGTTATAAAAATGTTCAAAGATTTTCAGCCGCAGTTAATGATATGTATAAGTGGAGGTTGGAGCCCGTGGACAATCAGTATATATGTATTGTAGTTGAGCCACTGGTAAATTCTATCTGTGTTATTGGTCCAAAAAGAATGAATATGAAAGCATGTAGAGTATGAACTTACATATGGTTAAGCTGCATGACTGCAACAGTTTCTTTTTACCCATGTATTCAAACAGACATTGAACACAATGTCCTCGATCAGGATTGTCATGATCAAGCAGTAGATAATTTTTCTCCATTGTTTCCATTTTATCTTTATTCATAGCTGAAAACAAACTAGTTTTGTGAAATAACCAATAGTCTTCTAAATCAATCTAATTTTAATTATATTGTTTCTGAATATGCATGGATCACTGACGATCGATGGGATCTCTTATTGGCGGTAATGTGGACTCACAACACACTAAGGTCTCGTATGCCCGAATGTGCATATGAAAGATTCCCCGACAGTTGAAAAAAGTATCCTAATATCACTGCACTGGCAACATTTTCTCATTGCAAATGTTAAATACGGATTTAAAAGTTGAATTAAAACACCATTTTAAGTTTAAATCATGCCTAATTAAAAGTTTTACTATGTAATTATAGTTTGTATCAATTTTATGCATATCAAAATATATTTTACAGTCATGCTTCCGGAAACTTTGGAAGCCACGAATTTGCAACCAGTTGATGAATAAGATATCGAAATCTACTTACACTGGTGTAGTTTACCATTTATGTAATATGATAAGTTATATCCGATCACATCAGATGAACATTCATATCTGGATTTCACATCCTCCAAATATACTCCATCTTTCGGCGATATAGTGACATTCAACACAACTGTTTCTGAGATATAAAAAGTATATGTTCACATTGACAACATAATATCCACACCAACAGTACGTTTGTTACAAAATATATAAGTGTAACATAACTCTTTGACACAAAAGAAATAGAATAGGACAAATAATGGAAATTATAATTCTTATGTTCATGTCACAAACAACGTAGACACCATTCAAAAAACGATATGGATAATTCCGGTTTGTTTTTTTAAGGGTTGATGTTGCAACCGGCAGAGTCTGAGAGCAAGAAGTTTCAACAACTAATAGAAACTGTAATTATTCGACCTGAGCTAATCGACAACTGACAAATAAACCTTTCCTAAAATCTGAATCTGGTAAGTTCTCTGAGCGGATGGAAGGTGTGACGATCCAGCTGACTGCAGTAGCAGATAGTCTGTCAGCCTTCTGATTTGTTAGCTTTAGATTCAACCAGTTGCTTTGCATTGCCAGTAGTACTGTGTACAGCTCTTAAGTTAGATGTAAAACATACCTGTTACATTAAGGTTAATGTCGACGAAGGAACTGTTAGAACAGGCACAGCGGTATGTTCCTGTATTGGGCACACTCACATTATGTATGATCAATCTATTGTGATTGAAACCAGAAATATTGCGATGCGGAATATTGTTTGTCGTCGTATTATTACCAACTAATAACCATTCAACATCACAATCAGAACTGAAATAACCATAATTAAATCATTTTGAAACAAAATTCATCTGTATGCTTGCTGAAAATGGTTTAATGATAAAAGTTGACTTTTTGTTTTAATTTGAAATTGAACAAATTCTGTATTTTTATGTTAACCATATTGTTTGTAAATTTGGTTTACTTTTAAGTGACGTTGTGTGTAGGTTTATATAATATACTTCAATTAAATTAAAAGACATTAAATTGACCTAAAGGTGGGTCTCAGAATACAGGAGAGCAAATTCCCCACTCAACTTAAGCTCTAGAAGGGATACTGCAATATTACTATAATAGTTTTTATAATATATATTACCTGACAAAACATTCTAAAACAGCATTTTCTCCGGCTTCTACACTTACATTATTACTTATAGCATAAACAAACTTTGGAATGCCTGAAAAGTACAAACATACTTAAAACACATCCCAGACGGTTCATTAGTATACTGTTCCAGTCACAAAGTAGCTGACAATTGAAAATAAAAAGAAATCGTAATTCTAAGAGTTACTTCTAATTTACATGGTTATTTATAGCAAAAGCAAACCCTGGAATGCCTGAAAAGAACACTCATACTTAAAACATATTTCAGACGGTTCATTAGTATTGCTCCTGTCGCAAATACCAGCTGACCAAGCAGTTGACAATACGAAATAAAATGAAATTACTTCTAATTTTACATTGTTATTTATAGCAAAACAAACCTGTCATGCCTGATATGTATACAGTACTTACTCAAAATATAACCAGGACGATTCATTGGTATGTTCTTCAGGTCACAATTACCAACTGACAATTGGAATTTTAATAGCGACTAGGAATATTATTCAATTATCTCAAACTCACCCTGTACGCAATCTTGATCTTCCATATCATCTGGACATCGGCAGATGTTCACGTTACTAAATGTTGGACATGAACCATTAACACTACATTGACACACCCGACTGTCTACAAATACAGAATATT